TGGGAGCGCCTGGGACATGGAAATGGGCACGGAAAGAATGGGTACGACGCCCGAAATGGACACGATACCCCGATGGGTCCTGGCGCGCCCAACACTTTGCACCATCGCCGTCGCACCAGTTTAAGACTGACTGGCAGGGAACATAGAGAAGGACCAGGAGAAGAGCAATGAGAGAGGAGCGATCGTTGTCCTAACGAGCGCAACGGGCTGCCCCAACGGGCGCAAGCGCTCTCGTCGCCAAATAGACCTGGCGACTTGGCTCGAGCTCCACTCGATGCCGCGAACGACGCCACCTGGCGCCTGGCGCTTCTCCTCCTTCCCCCTCCTCCGTCTTCCCTTCCTGAGGGAAAGGGGGGGGAGGTGTCATTTGGACACCCGAAATGGGTACCGACAGAATGGATACAATACCCAGCAACAAATGTTGTCCCAAACCAACAGCGGCTGCTGTTGGGCAGGCTGCCTTCTGTCTCGAATGGACACAGGCCGCGGCGGCGCGGACAGCGAGTCCTGTTCAAAATGAACGAGAACTGTTGTTGGGCATCGTACCCATTCTTTCCGTGCCCATGTCGGGCGTCCAGATACTACGCCAGTTTCTCCCGCAGGGTGCGCAGCCAACGCTGCACCTGCGAGAGCTCTGGCAACGCGTGCCCTGCGAGAGCTACATCTGCGATGCAGCTCTCGAGCAGGGCGCGCGGCGGGCTGGCTACGTTGGGGGTGCCGCGGTCCCGCAGCACCCCCAACAGCAGCTCGCCTGCGGCCGCGTCTACGCTGGGCGGGCGCCCCCGCGGCTTCCGCAGCACGCCGATCACCGCCGCCTGGGAGGCGGGGCTCACGGCAGCAGCGGAAGCGGAAGGCGACGGGGCGCCGCCTGGTGGGCGGCGCGCGGGCGTGGCTGCGTCGGCGCCGCCCGCCTCCCTAGGCTGCACGGCGCGGCCGCTCGACTCGGGCTCGGGCGACGCGCGCCGCCGCTTCGGGGTGCGGGCTGGCGCTGGGGCCTACGGGCGGCGACATCTAACCTCGCCCCACACTCATTTCCCCGACCATGCTTCGCGCGCCCGCGCGGCACGACACGGCACGACACGAGGCACAGCGCACGGCGCAGCGCACGGCACCGAATGCACGGCACCGAGTGCACGGCACGGCTCGGCGCAGGGCGCGGCGCGCGCGCGAGGCGCAGTCGTGTTTGGGTCAGGGGGGGCGGGGGGGTTAGGTGTCGCATGCCTCGTCCGCGGCCGCGGCCGCGGCAGGAGCCTCGTCCGCGGCCGCGGCAGGAGCCTCGTCCGCGGCTTCCGCTGGGGCGTCCTTCGATCGAGACGACGACGACGACGACGACGACGACGACGACGACGACGACGACGACGACGACGACGACGACGACGACGACGGCGACGGCGACGGCGACGGCGACGGCGACGGCGACGGCGACGGCGACGACGACGACGGCGACGGCGACGTGCGTCGCAGCACGGCAAGAGGCACGGCGCGGGGCACGGCGCCAGGCACGGCACCAGGCACGGCGCGAGGCGCGACACCAGGCACGGCACCAGGCACAGCACGAGGAACGGCACCAAGCACGGCGCGAGGCACGGCACGAGGCACGGCACCAGGCACGGCACGAGGCACGGCGCGAGGCACGGCGCGAGGCACGGCACGAGGCACGGCACAATGCGACGGCACGCGGCGACGGCACGAGGCGCGGCATGAGGCACGGCTCGATGCGCGGCATGAGGCACGGCACGAGGCACGGCACGAGGCGCGGCACCAGGCACGGCGCGAGGCGCGGAGCGAGGCACAGCACGAGGCGCAGCACGAGGCACGGCACGAGGCGCGGCACGGGGCGCGGCACGGGGCACGGCACGAGGCAGGGCACGAGGCGCGACACGACGGGGTCCTCGAGGGCGAGCAGGGAGTCTGCCGCCACGTCGAGGAGCCACTGGAGGAAGTGGCTGTCCTCCTCCTCGTTGCCCCCGCCCCCGCCCTGGGACCGACGGCTGCCGCTCTCGCAAGTGAGCCTCGTCGGGGCGCCGCTGGCCCCCCAATCGGTTGGAGGGCCAACAGCGCACCGAGGGAGCTGAATTGTGAGCGCGTTCGCCATCGAGCCTCTTCGAGCCCGCCCAACTCGAAGTCGGGCAGCTCGGCGTCGCAGAGCGCCAGCTGCTCCTCCAGCGGCCACGCGACGGGGCCCAGGTCCCCGAACGCGGCGCGGACGAGGAGCTCGGCCAGCTCCGCGTCCTGGCGGGGACACGCCAACCATCCGTCCCCCCCCCCCCCCGCCCCCACCGCATCCTCCTCGGGTTCCTCCTGGACGGGCGTGTGCCCCACAGCCCCTATACCATGCCACAGTGACGCACCTCTTCGCCCCGACGCCGAGCTCACCCGCACCGCGGCCTCCCCCCCTCCCCCCGCACCCCTGAGCTGCCACGCCCCGGGCCTCCCAAGCGCGCCACCCGCCACCCACCACCCTCCTTTTCCGCCGTGGCCCTAGACTGGCACCGCGGCGCCGTCTTCGCCCCTGGCACCAAGGCCGCTCCACCGCCGTCGCCGTGGCTCACCATTCCCGTCGCCGTGACACGCACCCTCTGGCACCGAGCTCCCACCCCCGCACCCGCACCGTGGCGCGCCCCGCCCTGCCCTGTCAGCGCGGCGCACACCGCCCGACCCCATCACGGCTGACATCGGCCTACACGAGCCACGCCCCGTAGCCGAGTACCCACCGTTATCACGTCGCTTCCGACATTGTATCACCCGCCCTCATCCACCCCCACCCACCTCGGCCGCGGCGGCAGCCCCGCCCGCGCCGCCGCCACTCCATTTCGTCACCGCGACGCCCTCTCCCCGTCACTGAGACGCCTCGCCCGTCAAATTGGCGCGGGCTTCCCGTCACCGCGTCGCGTTCGGCGACGCGGTGCGCCGCCGCCCCAACCCGAGCTCGCCGACCCCACCCCGCCCCATATCCCGCCACCGCGGCGCACCCCTCTCCCGCACCACCTCACCCGCACCGTCCTTCTTGGCGGTGCGCGTCAGGTAGTTGCGCTGCTGGACGCCAGCGCCGTGGCCGTCCAACCTCTCGAAGAGGTTGGCCAGCTTGTGCCGCCCCTGCGGGTCCGCCTCGTGCCGCCGCAGGTGGTTCCGCGGCCACCTCCTGGACGTGGAGAAAGGAGGGGGTGGCCTCCATGTCTCGGAGGCAGCCGTGGAACCACTTGCGGAGGTTGTTGACGGCGGGCAGGGTCTTGCCCGCCTTCACCGAGTCCTCCATGAGCAGCCTGCCCGCGCAGGCTGCTTGGGGCCACATAATCTCACCCCCATGGGAGGGAACGCGCATTAAGTGCGCTGGGAGCGCGCCGTCGGAACGGTGCGCTCCCAGCGTACTTAGCGTGGGGTCAGGGGCGTGGCGTGGGGTCAGGGGGGGGGGGGGGGGGGGGGGGGGGGGGGGGGGGATGTCGGGGAGTGCCTGCGGCAGCGAGTCCGCTCCCCCCATGTGAGATTATGCAACCCCTGGGAGCCGCACGCCGCGCTCCAGGTACTTGGGCACGCTGACCCTGTCCGTGGAGGCCTCTCGTGGATGGGGGGGGGGTACCGCAGGAGCCCCTTGCCCAAGGTGCCCTCGCGCTTTCTCGCGGCGCGGCTCCGCTCTGCCGCTCCCTCCGCTTCCTGGCCCCGTGAAGGGGGTGCGCTCGGCGCCCTGTTGGGCACCGTGCGCGTCTTCTGGCGGTGGAGGGGGGGGGGGTGGGGGGAGAGGGTGCTCCTTGGGCCAGGGGCACCTTTACGCTCGATCCCGAGCCTTCGCTGGCAGCAAGAAGAGATCCTTGCTGTCAGCGCGGCGCGGGAGCGCGAGGTACGTCTTCGCCGCCTGGACTGTGCCTGGCACGGTGGATCACCCAAGGCGCCGCTGGCTCTCGCCAGGCGGGGCGGCGGTGGCGGTGACGCACGCGCACGCACGCGCACGCTAACGCGCGCGCACACCACACACACATGCGCGCGCGCACAGACACGCACACCACCACTGCAACCGCCACCACCACCGCGCCACCACCACCACCACCACCACCACCACCACAACCGCAGGACTCCTCGGGGGGGGAGCAGGCGCGGCCGAGTACCCCCATCCCCGCCCTGGTTACACATTGTCCAAGAAGGAGGCCTTGATGGCCCCTGGAGAAAACACTTGGCACCTTCAAAGCAAAGCCCCCTGGGGCCCAGTGGCCTCGGCACCGATTGGCCACGGGACCGCGCGCCCGCCCCGCCCCCCCCCCAGTGCCAGGGCCTTAGGTAACCCCCCGCGGCGCCAGGCGCCAGCCATTTGGCCAAGGAGCCGTACACAACCGCCGTTTTGTGGTCCTGGCGAGGACGGAAGCAGCGCGGACTTGAGCGCGGAAGGCGCCGATGTTGCAGGGACCGCGCGACATGGGTCGGGGTCGGGGTCGGGGTGGGGTGCGTGGGTGGGCGGGCGTGCGGGGGCGGCGGAGTGGTCGGGGCTGGTGGGTGAGTGGGGGGGGGGGGGGGGGGTAAGGCTTCCCCACTCCCGCCGTTGTTCCCCTCGCTGTGGCCGCGCCACTGTCATGCGTTCCAGCAACACCGCGCACCCCCCTCCCCCATCGCGCTCGTCCCGCGCTGTTTCCCCCTCCGCCCGCGCTCGTGGCAGATGACGAAGTCGCACTTCGCCAGCTGCGCCTGGATGGCCGTGGCGGTCATCACGGACCACTCCTGGGAGACGCGCGGCGACGACGACAAGGCGCCCGACGCGTTTCGCTGGGGTCAATCGCTCCGTTCGTCGCTCCGTCTGGGTACCGTCGGTCGCTCCGTCCGTCCGTCCGAATACCGTTCGTCCGTCGCCCCGTTCCAACACCGTCCGTCCGTCGCTCCGTCCGATTGCCGTCCGACCGTCGCTCCGTCCATCAGCCGCCCCGCCTGGGCACCGCCCGTCCGTCGCGCCGCCCAAGCACCGTCTGTCCGCCGCGCCGTCCGAATGCTGTCCGCCCGTCGCGTCGCCCGAGCACCGCCTGGGCGCCGCCCCGTCCGAGTACCGTCCGACCGTCGCTCCGTCCGTCCGTAGCCCCGTCCGAGCACCGTCCGCCCGCCGCCCCGTCCGAATACCGTCCGTCCGTCGCCCCGTCCCTCGTCCCGTCCGTCCGCTGCCCCGTCCGAGTAGCGTCCGTCCGTCGCGCCGTCCCAGCGCCGTCCGTCCGTCGCTTCGTCCGCCGCTCCGCCCGAGCACCGCCCGTCCGCCGCTCCTTGCAGCGACCCATGAACCCGTTGAGGGCCAACGCCACGACCATGTAGGTCGTTGCGAGCGCCTGGTCCTCCTCTGAAAGAGGCGGAGACCCAGGAGGGTGCTTCTCGCTCAGGCGCCTGTCGGGCGGCCGTGGCTGGGGGCGCGGCCTTTCCTTCGGCGGGGGTGGGGGGGTGGGGGGAGTCGCTGTGGGGAGAAGGGGTGTGATGGGGCGGATGGGGCTTGTCCCCAGGAGCGCACCTGGGCCCGCTCGCGGGCCCACGGGTGCCCGACCAGGGTCCGTGAGGACCCGCCCGCGTCCTCGCTTCTGCCCCCATCAGAAAGACCGCGTGCCTCAGGCCATGGAACGCCGTCCTGACCGCCTCCATGCGCGCGGCCACGGTGGGCAACTTCTCCTGGGCGGGTGGTGGGGGGAGGGGGGAGGGGCGGGCAAGCTAGGTTCGCGCGTCTGCATCTGATGCCAGTAGTGGTGCCGCCGTGCGCGGTGCAGCGCGGTGGTCTCTCGGGCCGCGCGCCGAACGACACTTCGCTCGGAGCGGGCGCCTTACCACGCAGACGCAGACGAGCCCCGCACACGCGCGCGCGCACGGCACGGCACCGCACGGCACAGCACGGCGCGACTCGAGACGGGGCGTCGCGGGACGGCGCGCGCGCACGACACGGCACGGCGCAACGCGGCATGCGGCACGACATGGCACTGGCCACAGCACGGGCCCTCGCGCGCGCCGCCATATTGGATAAGAGCGGAAGGGGTGGGGGGGGGGGGCGAAGGGTGCGCGGCGTCCTCCCTCTCCGCGGCCCTGAGGAAGCTCTGGCAGTACCGCGAGGTCTTCGCCTTCTTCAAGGCCGCCGTGTCCTCGCACGGCGGCGGGGGGGGGGGCGGAGGCGCGGGGGGGCGGCGACGGCGCGGCCACGGACGGTGACGGCGGCGGCACGGCTGCTGCCGCCACCGACGACGACGGCGACGCCGACGACGGGGCGACGCCGACGCCTTCGCGGACAAAGGAAGGGGAGCGGTGGGAAAGGGCCCCTTCCACCCCCGCGCCCACGCCCCACGGTCCAGGTGGTGCTTGTCGCCGAGCGACGTGGCCATCGCCTGGAGGCACGTCTTGAGCCCCAGGGCCACGGGGTCCGTGGGGCGCTCGACCACCTCTCGGATCGGTGGCGTCGCGCCGTTCGCTCGGCCGCTGTCGTCGTCGTCGTCGTCGTCGTCGTCGTCGTCGTCGTCGTCGTCGCCGCCGTCGTCGTCGTCGTCGTCGTCGTCGTCGTCGTCGTTCGTGGTTGTCCGTGGTCGTCCCGCCTGGCGGCCCACAGCTTCCATGTGGAAGCTGAGGAGCTCGCGGAAGGCGACGTCCAGCCCCTGCACCCACGAGGGGGAGACCTTGACGATCTCCTCCTGGGGATGGATCGTCGTCCGTCGTCCCACCGCGCGCCTCCCCACCGCCCCTGCCCCCGCCCTCCGCGCGGCGCGGCGCGGCACGGCGGCGCGCGGCACGGCGCGCTTTGGTGGTGTGGGTGGTTGGGCCCGCCCGTGGCTCATCGAAGAGGGCCAGGTGCAGCCCGTCGCCGCTCCCAGGCTGTTTGGCCAGGTACAGGGCGGCGACGGCCCTGGGGTCGGCCAGGCGGTCGACGCCGACCGCCTCCCCGTTGAGCGTGAGGAGCGCCGCGAGCCGCGGGAGGTGCGTACGCACCAGGGCCTGTGCGCGACCAAAGGCGAGCCCGACACTTATGCCCAGGCGGGTTCCGCAGGGGCGGGGGCCCAACGGCGCGGGCGCAGCGCCGTTCGGGTGACCCGAACGACGCTGCGCTCGTGCCTGGAACCCGCGCCGATGTGGAGCCCGCAGTGGCGTAAGGGTCAGGTTCGCGGGTTTGGTTCCGCGGCCTGTCGGGAGACGTTGCTGATCTTCTTGGCGACGAAGTTCGCCAAGGCAGCAGGCAGCGCCTTCGTCTCCTCGAAGTCGGGCGGGAAGGGCCAGCGCTGGACGCGCTGGCCCGCCGCCGACGGCTGCGGCATCCGCTCGCCGAGCGTGCGGTAGAAGGGGTTGACCCCAGCGATGGGGAACCCCTCGTGCCAGGCACGCTCCTCCGTGGCGGGCCGCTCCAGGCGAGCCTGGAGCGGTTCCACGGGGTGGCCACCCTCATCCACGAGGACCCAGAGCGGCATCTGGATCCAACGCGTAGTGTTGGGGGGGCCAGGCGCTGGCGGCGCGGGTGGAAGCGCCGCGGGCGCAGCGGGCGCGAAAGGGCTCGGAGCGGCGGCGAGCGCGGCA